GAGCCTGACAGCAGCCACACTACAAACCTTACAGGGCTTAACGCAGCTCCCAGCACAGTCTGAACTGCTCGCCAAAGCCAGGCACCCATTGATGTCTGCTCCTCCTAAGAATCAGGGCGACCAGCTGAGCTGCCACTCTTGATGAAACTGCTTCATGTTGTATGAATAATGACACACTCACTTCAGCTGTACAAGGAGAGGAACCACTACTCTATCTACTGCACAGTGTGACTTTTCACGGCAAAGTATCTGCATCAAGACACAACTGAATGTTTTGTACAGTTCATTTTCTGTTTAGCACTCTCTCTATGTCTGCATGTATAAAATAATTATCATCAACCAGGTAATTGCTAACTTCAGACCAATGTGTTAGCAGGTCCTTAGAAAGAAATGGCACTACACAGAGCAGATGTCAGATCAGACTGTCTTACACACAGACGTTCAATGTGCCTAATATCTACCTTGAAGACAAACATGAACATCAACGCTTATCTATTAATTTCTCCTTAAAAAAATGGTATATAATGCTTCTTGGCCAGCATACTTCACATAGACAGAAAGCCACTCCTAGGAGGGCTACTGCTTCTGCTTCCAAATTCCCTTAACTCTCATTCTGACAAAGCATGTGGTTCTTCTCCCAGCTTTCCTGGCATTAACGACTGTCCAATACAATGTGAATTTCATTAGCACAGGAATCTAAAGAAAAATTTTAACATTGCAACAGACTAAAATGAAGGCTTTATTAAAACTCATTGCCAGAATTAGGAAGAGAATGCATCCAGGCCTGGGGCATATGCTTACTCCAACTACAAGCAACCATCTTTTCCATGCAAAGTGGGGGCACTGCTGGAAATGGACCTTTTAAGGCATAAACGTATAAACAAATTGTAGCTTTGCTTCAACAAGTTCAAGAATTAAAAGAGTACCTTTATAATTTTGTGCATGAACCACTTTAAAAAAAGCAAAAACCCCACAACCTGACCCGAACATTGTTTTGTACTGTTTCCCACTACTATGCCTCTGTCTTCTCTTCTTTCCTTTACATTTATCTCCTCTCACTTTCTGCCTTACTGCTAGTCCACCTCATCCCCCAATTTTCCTGTTTCTGTCATCACACAGAAGGGGGGCAGCCTCCTTCCACCCCGCAGCTGTTCCCAGTGTGGTCTCTTTGGCCAAGAACAACTGTGGGCTGTTGTGCTTTGCCTCTGAGCTGTTCTTACACAACTAAAGCAACACGATCGATTTCTACCACCGCCGAACAGTGTAGTAGGAACATATTTTAACTACAGTTGTTAGCTGTATTACCATGTTGTATTTACTATATTAGCTATTTTAATAGTTGCAGAAGTCAGTTTTGTTCAGCTGTTCTGACAAGTTGCAGCACTGCACAGCAGAAGAGCCTTGATGTGACAGGCTGAGACATACTCCAAAGGCCCCTTCCAAATGGTTGGCCATCAGCCCACCAAAGGTACCAAAACCCCCTTATGGCCTTGCTTCATGCACATCTGACAGCTGCCTGGTACTGGTGGCTACAAGAAGTAATAGCAGATGCTCAGGTGGGATAGTGATGTTCCTGACGATGAGTCTGGAGGGTCAGGCCAATGTTCTGTATGTTGCTGTACAGATGGAAGAAGTAATTACAGTGTTGATTTTGGACAGACAGTGACTAAAGGCAGAACTGGAAGGATGTGATGCTTATGAAGCAATACACTCCAGCAACAGAATTGGGGGAGGATGAGCAACTTCAAAAGTTATGCAGTTCAGATCCTACCACGTAGAAAGACAGAAGTTCCCAACAGAACCTATAATTATCTGGGCAAGATTTTGTAATGAAATCATTCTTACTAAAGATAAAGTAAAAGCAATTCTTCCCTTAAATTAATGAGAACTCATTGCAGGATTGCCACCCATTCATTATTTTTTTTCCACTAGTTGAACATGCAAGTTGCTCTACTCAGTGGATGGTACCATAACTCATGAAGTGGCCAGGCTTCTGGGGACCAGGACAAAATACAGCTACCCTGGGAAGCACTCTCTGAAGTCAGAAGGAGGGTACAAAAGATACCTAATCACGGATTCTAGTTTTTCAAGTGCCCTCTGTCATTTCAGGCCAAGCCAAATACCCTGCTGTGAGAAATTCTTTCTCACTAGTAGTATCAGGCGACTAAGGAAACGGACAGATTATGTTCTGATTTTCCATTCCATCCTACTATTTAACCACATGTAGAGATTTGCATCAGGTTCTCTATTTGTAGAACAGTACTACAAAATAAACACAGTTATAAAGCACTCTAAGATACTTGCAGGAATGAACTATGAATATGCTAATGTTAGTTACAGTAGACATATGGAGTGGATTGCTGAAAGGTTGGGAAATCTGCCTCACAGAAGTCCTACCATCACTAATTCTGATGTCTATTTAAAATGAAACTGAAGCACCACAGGGAAAATGATTTCTGATCGTTTCATTAAACTATTTGATGACATTTCCTTGCCATTTTCTACCACTTTTATTTATGAAACTATCCATGATGTTCTCAATATTGTCTGCAAAAAATGGAGCATGGATTTTTAATACCAGGTATGCAGTTCACTTTCTCTTGACTTCCATAATTTCGTACTTTAATCTATAAAACATGCTAAAAGGAAACAGCAGCCATACGTACAATTCTGAAACTATTACTTAATGTCAAACACCTCATCTAAGCCATCTCCCATGCAAAAAGATGAAAATCCAAAAACATCTGAAAGAGGTCAGTGGGGAAAAAAAAGTAAGTTACCCAATTTAGAAGAGAGGCTACAGCAGTAACTAAGAACAGCAACTTAAAACTGTGGATTAGGGAATGGTTCCTGGCAGCCAGATCTAAACCCTCAGTCATACAAACAGTCCTGAATCAGGGGGCTAATCTTTTTCACTAATAGTCTGTTTTGATAAAGACTGCCAGGTGGTCAAAATAACCCCCTTTATATAGCATTTCACCACTACTAGAATTAAATTAGCATCTCAGCAATATCTTTTGTGGTTACCGGCAAGTCCAAGATTAAAAGGAATATTTATTCCAATAGTTTTCAATACGCTAGAGGAAATGTAAATGGCTGCAGCCTTGCTTAAGCAAGAAATGCACTATGTGCCATGGAAATCTTGCTGAAGTGTGCTGACTAATGTTTGTTTCCCTGTTAATACCATAATCCCTAACACAGAGAAAGTCAACTCTTTTAAAGGAGTTCTCACTCATTACTGCGATTCTTGCTCATACATGAATCTGTTTTGGGGTTGTTTCTAACATCATTAATTACAAAATTAAATACATAGTAATGGGAAGGACACAACATTGTGATTATGAAAGGAGCAGAATCTTGTCAAGAAAAGTTTCCCTTGCCTCTTTTCCCTCTGTCATTTATTTGCTGCTATCTCATTCACCCAGAACTTCAGCTGATATTCAAAGGTAGTTCTTGATCTGGTGAATACTGAACTGTGCTAATTGAAGTGACTTTTTTGTTGCTGTTGTTTGTCTCTTAACTATAATTAAAATTTCTAATTGGAATTTACAACTGTGCCTGTAGCGTGTTGTTATCACAGATGATGTGCCAGAAGAGAGTTATGGTGCCTCCCAGAAGATGAAGAATAATGGCTATGGCTCACGGGTGAATTACGCAGTTCTTAGCGAACACTGAGGACTAGCTTAAAAACCTCCCAGAGGCAAACAGTGGTTACCACATAATTATGTGACAAACAAGCCACAGCCCATGCGGTGAGAAAGTCTGATGGATGGGATTTTCAGATATTTTTGTCTTCATCTTTCATAATTTACTCAAGCGTGATGCCACTAGTGATCAACGTTAAAGGTCCTCAGCAAAGGAAGCCAGCACGGAACACAGTTGCAGCATGTGTAACTTGGCAAGGAAGGACAGAATCCTGTCTGCATTTCTCCAGACTCATGTCTCCAGATTGCTATGAGATCCAGGTACAGAGGACAAGACTACCTTGTTGCTCTGTGTTTATGTCTGAGATATTAGGAGGATTCATTTGCTGTATAGTCAAGTCATGTAACTGGCAATTGCATGGGTGAAACCAGATCCCATAATTTAAGTGAAGTATATATAATGGGCTCCTTTAGAGAAAGCAAATATAAAAGGTAGTCAGAGAAAAAAATTATTCAAACTGGAGGGATTTTTCAGTTTGTCCAATCACTCCCACAAATACAGCCACCTCCTTTATGTCATTTGCGTTTCTGTGACTTTTCAGAGTTAGATAATATGCACATCTGCCTTTGACAAGCATGTTCTAGATCACATAACGTTGTTTTTACTGTCAAGATTTGCCTAGAAACACTTTCACCTACGCCCATATACTTAGCCACTTGGGGAGATACAATGCCTTGTTTGCCAAGTTAATAAATCCAGCTGTTGTGTACAAAAATGGAAAGGTTTTGGATGAGTCTTTGGCACATACAGTAACAGGACAACAGCAGAGAAAGAAAAAAAAAGGAGCTTGAGAAGAAGGGCTTTCACAAGAACAGGGTCTGGAAGGGTCAGCTGTATGGTGTGAAGAAAGTGGCTGTATATCTCCGATTTGTGAAAATGAGACAGTAAATATATAATGTAAAAAAGACGTTGCTTCAGTTAATGTATAAACAAACTGTTAGTATACATATGTATGTATGTAAAATATTTAAAATGCGTTATTTCATTCATGTGACATGCAGAGTTAAGATCAGAAATTAAAGCTTTTATCAACAAATCTGGGTCAGTGCTGACTCTTGTATTCCTTAAATTCTTTCAAAATGAATAAACAAACTTCATTGTCAAAGTGCTAATATACCAGTGATTCTCAATTTATGGCAGAAATAATGTTCCCGCTTTCTGTAAAAGAGCTACTAAACAGCTGACGGAGGTATCATGGTATTGTTGCAGGAGAACAATGACAGGAACGAGAGGGTTTCTCCTACACAGTACTAAAAGCAGCAGCAGCAGTATCAGAGATCATTAGCCAAACTAACCTGCGGTGTCATTCCATGGCAGATATACATGATTGGGATGTTCTCCGTGTCTGGCCCTTGATCAAGGCATAAGTCACTCTTCAGAGAATTCTGCAGCTAAAATAAACAGAAAGAAAAAGAAGTCAAGCACATTGGCCATGAGAAAAAGAGAAGGTGATTATTTTCTCTGAAAAAAAATCATATGAAGTTGAGCAAGGGAATATGCAAAATTAAAAATACTTGTTGTAGTGAAGATATTGAAAAGAAAGCACCTGGACGGAATTCTTCCTTGTAGATAATCTAACACTACTGATTTCAATAATATTGTACAAGATTTCAGGGAGGGAATTTCAAAAAGCCTTCAGAGATAGCAATGATTTTTGGAATACATGTTTAAAATACTAAAGTCTAATGAGTCTCTGGTTCATCCTATATAGAAAAGACAGATTTTTAACCAGTGCAGCTAGCTGAGCACTATGAATGGAGTTTCAAATATGGAGAAAGACCTGTAATTAAACAGCTTTTCAGAATCCCTCAGAAGAGTTTTCTGATTTCTGGAAATAATGCCAAAAAATCCTTTCTGCTGATATGTCGAGACTTCTGGCCAATTGGTATGCACTAGCTCTTCTGTGCATTATTCCAGGCTAACCCCCACACAGCAGTCTAGCTACGAACAGACTGCGAAGCCCTCGGCCCCATTCAGCACAAAACTCACTATATTACCTGGGCCATGCTGAGACTGAATTTTCTGGAAGTGAAGTGCTAAATTAATGAGCAAAAATAGCTCGAAGGTCTTGTTAGAGTGTGAGGCCAAAAATGTGGACTGCAAACCCATGGGCACGTATAAAGGTGTTCAGTCGTCATAAAAGATCAGTTCAGAGAATGTGAGAGAACTGTCTCATGGAGGGAGTGAAGAGCTGATGTGATGAACTGAGCCGTCCTGTCAGCTGTGTACAAGGGCCTCCTTTGAGTAAAACAAATCAATGTGCTTAGAAAGGAAGTCTAGAAGTGCGGTAGTATGTAAAAAGTATGGACAAGCCATACACTGAAGCCGGGCAGTGAAAAAAATCAAAACCGTGAACTCATCTCTACAAGATTCCCAACTCCAAACGTAACTAAACTCAATAACAGACAGGACAGATCTCGACATTAAAGGGAGCCTATGCATTAGGTACCAATACTGGCCTTACTCTTAGCTGCAAGCCCCAAGAATTACATAAAGTTTCCTCTCTCCGTGCTTTGCATTTCTTAGCCATAAACATAACCACAACCATGACTCTAATCGTAATCAGATGTTAGGCACCACTCTATCCAAACCGATGATAAGTATCAGCCTTATTAATTCATGCCTGGATCCATTACTACCTTCGGCTTTTCAAAACCTCTTCCACACACTCAAATTCGAATGCTTATCCTAGCCCTAATTTTGTAACCTTTTGCACAACAATCCCCATAATAAACTAAGAAAAAAATCTGCCTTGACCAACATCAGCATGCGACTTAGCTGAGAGGACTGACCCAGCAGCAGAACAGATACAGAGGCTTTAGAGTCCCAGGCTCTAAATGAAACGTGCCCTTGACCCTAACAGCAGCTTTCCAGTGATCAGGCATTACAGAAAAAGAGGCAAAGTAAGTCTCAACAATCATGGGTGCCTGTTCGCCGATTTTCATTTTGACTTATATGATGCGGAGTTAATACTGAGATTTGGAAACAAGTGCCTTAGCTCTTCTACTGGTCTTTCTTTTTCTATCTAGTATCACTTCTACCTGCAATCAAAGATTTTTTTAGCCAGAGGTACCTACAAGCAGAACCATGTACCTATGAGCTGCTACGCCTCCTCCTCCTCAGGAAACTCCACACCTGATCAGATCATGGCATCGCTGAGGGCAATGCCGCACAGTCTGTGGAAGAGGCTCCTTGCACACAGGTGTGATTTTGGCTTTCTTCGGAACTATTTTGGAAAGTAACCATTATCTCATGCATTTAACAACGAACTAAACTTTTGCTGGAAGTCTTTTCTTCTCTTTTTTGATTGTATGAAAAGCCAGCACAATAATTCTGATTGATCATCATGGGGACAAGGAACTTTGTGGGGCATATAACCACTTCATTTGCCGAATTCTTTTTGAGGAGGAATGTCTCAAACCCAGTCTTTCACTTCTATGATCTGCTCTCACTAGTTATGTTTCCTAATTGGGACTTGCATGCAGAAAGGCAAATTTTATTCACAGGAATCATTTTTTGCAAATATGACACTGGACAGAGAATGTGAAAAGGACGTCCTAGCTCTACGAGCTCGTTATGGGCCCACACTAGCTTACTATGCTCATCTTCCATGTCTTGCACACCTGCCCTCTCTGTTTAGACTGACGATTTTCTAGGGGCAAGAATTGTCTCTGCTTTAATTAGCACAGTGCAACTCAAGTGTGATTTCAACATAGACAAGGGTACTTCTGTCACAAAAGTAATGATGATGATGATCCTAAAATACAGGCATTTCAGGTTCTACATTAAGATCTGACTACAATATTAAGCAGCTTGCAGTTGAAATACTGAGCCTATTTTGTTAATTCACTTGCTGCTACAAACCTTGCAGCTGACAGCTCCAATGTGTCTAAAAAATCATGCCTCGAGTATCTCTGAGTGGAATGCAAGCAATGAAACAAATAAACAAAAAAATCAGGGAGGAAGACAATGTAGAGAATACCTCAGCATGAACTACAGCAGAGCAGCTGTCTCTCTCAACTAAGCAGTCTAACAGGTTATTTAACTCATGACTTCAAGTTTATCCAATTCTTCTACTTAGAGCCAGGCGTTGTCTTCACGAATTACTTCTGCTATTACACCTTTCTCCCTCACCTTTTTAGAATGGGAAAAGTAAACAAGATCCTTACCACCCCATAGGCGACAGTGTCTGAATACATTCTCATTTCTGGGTACACGCTGACAAGGTACCACCTGAAGGTCTTGCACTGGAGCTTCTTCCTCAAGGCCTTCCTCTCAGAAATATCACCAATATCAATTCCAGAGTCCTGCACATAAAACAAAGGACAGAAAAAGCAGAAAAAACGTCAGTGATACACTTCCGTGCAAACTAATCAACCAGAGTCTCCCTCATTGCAAAGGTGATTACGACCTATGATAACTATCAGGTGTTGGTTGCGGAGTGAGCCTGCTACCCACACACACTCCATAAATGCCCCAATTAAATGCGATACAGGTCACCATGGCGAGGGCTCTTTCAGAGTCTGCTGTGGTTAATGGAACCACTCCTATTGCCTTCAGTGGGGTTAGGTTTAGCTTCCAATGAATATCATGGTTGTTCTCTAATTTCCTGCCACTTTCCAGATCCGAAAGTAATTGGCAGGAAGTAGCAAGTTGCCCTAGAAACGACCTTATTGCTGGCATCCCGCTGTGGCCTGATCATTAGTATATGACACTTTCTGGCCATTTCTGAAGTCTGGGTTTACTGCTTCACTGCATACAGCAGCAGCTCTGCTCACCCTTCTGAAATATCACTTATTAAATGTCTCTTGTAACGTAGAAAGAGACATTCGTTGCTATTTTAGTTAAAAGCACTTGCACAATATTCTCTCCCCTGATTTTTATTCTCCTTTACGTTTCTGGCTAAGCTAATTTCTACTTATCGTAAGAGCAGATCATAAAGTGTGACTTTCATAAAGTCCCTGTATATAAAATCAATAATTTATCACATTCAAATCATGCAGCAGAAATTTTTAGAGAGGGATCAAAGTGCAAATCCATGGCTGCTATTTGGCAGGAAGTAAAATGAGACATTTTTCTCCACACTGCGCTCTACCACTTCTGCCTCAGAACAAAACGCAGGGTAAAAGAATTTTCATTAGGAAATTCTATAAGCTGCCTAGTTAAACAACAGGCTTTACTGGGTCATAAATGCCCACAGATTTTGTCAGTCACCAAATGAGATTTAAAAACAACATTGGAAGCACTGAATTCTCTTAGTTACACACCAAAAAGGTATCTTTGTAATTATCTGGGTTTCTGAGCTGCTAAAGCAACAACTGGTTCTTATATCCCAAAGCACTGAATTAATGTTAATCTGGAACTAACTGCTCCCATGGACGATCCCACTCATGCACCGCTCTGGCTGCACTTGCCAGTCTACCTGCCACTTGTTTGAAGGAAAAGGAGGATGCCAGCACACAGACATTTGCCTTTCAGCACTAGCAAGGCTTTCCAGGAACAGGTACTAAATTGGTCCAGGGCATCCCAGCTCCTTTCGCATGCAACCCTACGGGCACCAGTGCTTCTTTCCTCACAGTTTACTTATAAGGTAGGAAAGAGTATCTGGGGCCTCAGTAATCACATCCTCCCGCGCGGCTGGAGAAGGAAAACAGCTCCCGTGTAGCACACTGGCTTTATCACCAGCAACAGCTCAGCGTGTTCCCCAAAGCTGAGAATATGATGGGAGCAAAAAAAAAAAAAAACAACCAAACCCAAAACATCAGGGACAACATATGGAGGGCACAGCTCTTGGTTCTGGGACTTGAAAAATCTTTCCTTTGGGTTTTAAGGGCTTTTCTGGATCTATTTATCTAAGTAGTTATGATGCAGACATCACCATGGTACCCGAGATCCCAATTTGAAGCCCTCAGTACTTCAGAGCCACCCACAGAGATCCCAAGAGGGCAGTCACAGCACACTGCCAAATGAATCTAACTCCTTTTTATTAAGTCTCAAAGACTAAAACCTTTGGAAACATCTGACTGTGGGGCTACTCAGATCTGGGAATTCTTCCATGGAAAAAACAGGTCCTGTGCTTAACATTTTGGAATAACACATTTCATGGAAAGTCCCGGCTGTTCTAAGTGAATACACTTCTGGTACCTACACAGCCCATTACCAGTGCACTATTTCATCAGCTTCCAGACAGAGAATTACTCCTGTAGTTCTCCACTTGTGTAACACTATTTGGCCATGCCATCTGTCTGTCCTCTCTGCATGTCTCTCACAATGATGGCTCAACATCTTTTTGCGTAAGGTGAAGCTAGGTTTGATTTGAAAATTGGCCCCCTTTGCTATTTCATCTTTAATTTAATCCTGACATAAGCAAACATGAAACAGAACTACTGCCATCCCGTTTGATATTTAAATTTGACCTAATCCATCCCCAGCCTTTTTCATACACCATGTCTTTGTCCCCTGCCTACAGAAAGTCTGTATTACAAGTGTCCCACAAGCTTTAAGTTATTTTTAGGTTGCTTCTTTACGCTGAATACTCTCTCTTCCTACTGATGTTTCTATACCAAGCAGAGACTGCATTACTCCTAACCTTTTGAAGGGTAAAAGAGAACTTTGACTAACGATGTAGGTTTTCTTTATACTGACTGATTGAATTACAGTGCTTGGGAGTGTAATTCTGTACTGTATTCTCTTCTTTCCCTTAAAAAGCCAGAAGCCTTCCTTAAACATATACTTGTTTCCTACTGCTCCAGAACCAGTTCAGTACTCGCAAAGCTTAGCATGGGACAGGAAAAGGATGTCCCAGGTCTTTGTAGCTCTTTCCCCTATTCTTGGCACCAGGGCCTCACACAATGAACACGAAACAGCTCAGAACAGCTTCAAATTACACAACTGATTTGGGATACCCAGGCACATGTCAGGCTCTCAGAACAAAACAGAGCCCCAACACTCTTCCAAGTCCTTCCCTATTTTCTACATGGCAAAAGCTGGGTGAACAGCACGTGAACGTACCCAGCTGTAAGTCCCAGACCCCATCTGAGGAGAAAATCTTCTGGTGGTCACAAAGGTGCCGTGCTGTTTCTGAACACCCTGTAGCAACGACTAGGTCAGGAGTACATTCAGGCATTATAAGCCTGTTGCAACTGTGAAAACTAAGCTGTTTCCCAAGTATTTTAAACAAGTATGTGATCGAGTGTGTTTCTTTGGTTCTCTACAGCTGTGAGAAATACAAATAAAGGTTCTTTGTGCTACAGGTTCCATACATACACCTAGTAATAGACTTCTCCCTACAACAGAGGCATCTCATTACATTGCAGAAGAGCCCACTACTATTAAAAGCTGATTTACCACTTGCCATTTCCAGCTTTTCAGTCTGCACTACAGTTTGACAGCAGTAGCCTTTGTGAAGATGAAGACAGAATATAATCTGTATTGCAATTTATTCAAGCAGTTCACTGCAATGATTAGTATATTTGTGGTGGGAAAATGACTGGAGATTGAAGTAGTAAGCAGACTTGCTACTCCTCTTCAAAACTATGAACAAAATCAGTCTTGGCAGTACAAGATACACTCTGCAAACACCTTGATGCACTTTGTAACCTGAAGAAATTAGTTCAATCTGTACACTGTATTTATTTTTCCTTTGTTTAATAAAATATGTTTCCTTTAATAAATGAGCTTTAAAATTTATTATAACAGGCTTATTTTTTTCCTGATCTTTAGCACTGTCAAGTGTGTTATTATTACTTGTTAAATTTTCATTTAAAAAGTAGTAATGAAAACAACTTATCTTTGTATTCTCTATGAATTTCATTTCCAAATTGCATTCAGATCTCAACTTTGCACAAGATTAAGCACCGCCACCCTCATATCTTGATGAATATTATGCAAATACATATATAATACTGTATATCCTGGTTAGTGAAAGGAATTTCTGAGTTTTGTGTTAATGCTATGTTTGCACGTAAAAAACCTGAAACTTGATTAATAAATAAAGATCAACCAATCTTCAGGAAAATAACAATAAAAAATAGAAGCTGAAATTTAAATCTATCAGGTTAATCACAAATGGAATTAATTCGAACTTGTTTTGATGTAAAATACGTAACCCTACCTTACAGAGATGTCTTTATTCTTGTACGCACTGCTGTGTGACTACTGAGAACAGGGACACTTGAAGGGTAGCTTGGATTCTGTCTGTGATCATGGACTAACTTCCAGAAAGGTCCTTTCCCTGTACCAGATCATACAGGGCTTTTTCCCCTGGTGCTTTCATGGTATATTATGTGTCTAATTCTGCAACCTGAAAACAGGACAATCATGTCCCGACTTTGCCAAAATTATCTAGTTTTAACCATGAGAGATGAAGGAAACTATTGAAAGCAGCTGAATCAACATCAGCATTCACGTATCTAGCTGGTTTTTGGTTTCTAACCTTTCTTCCTGATTAAACTGAAGGAGGAGAAGTACAGCATTTTATTTCTCGAACCAGAAATTGCAGCAAACCAGTTTCTCTGAACAGTTGCAAAATCACTGAGAGATTTTACAGAGATTTTATTAAAGACAAAATAAATTACCCAAGTTCATTTTTTAAGTCTAGAATAGTTGCTTTTGTCATAATGATGAGAACTGCACACTGTAGGTCAAACCTCAAGTTCAACTACAGCCAGCCTCTAGGTGGAAACAACCTGTTCTACATGGATTCTGAATATTTTCCAGAATAGGTACAGTCACCTTTCTCGGAGCCCTACAGCTCTTAACTGTTCATAGCTTAAATACCACTGTCTACAGAAATGAGGAACTAAAATCAGATGTCAAACTGACCTCTCAGGTCAGCCATCTGATATTATCTTTTCAATACAATGGACCAACCATTGCTCAAGAGTGATACATCCACACTTGAACTGAGAGATGTTAACACCCCTTGCTCCTTGGCAGAACTCCCCTCACAAATCTGGCGGAATTATAGCTCTCTCTGATCGTAAATGAGAGACTCGAATTCAAAATAATGTGCAATATAGATTTGATGCTTCTTTTTTCCACATTTCTGCAGCTACTAGATTAAAATCTCCATAAAGAGTCATCAGTGAGGATGATGAACTTGACAAGAAATTAATTTTTAAGGAACCTGAAGACAAATAAATTATTCCACAATAAGACACAACTACATACATATTTTTATATGCAAGTGTGTATGTATAGGCATATCTTATGCCTATACGTAAGACAGAAATACATACATACGTGTATATAAATAACAAAATCCTAGCAGAAAAAAAAAAATCAGAGTAGGAATCACATCGAAAAGGATCTAAAGTCAAAGCTTGCAAACACTGGTTGGTCTTCGTGACTCACCTCCTGGGGTATGTTCCACGCCATATAGACATGGCTCTTAAATTCATCCATCCAGACTTCAGCCACCCTTAGTGCATTTCTCCGGACATGGGCCGTTAGATCTTCTGTGTATGGTTTATGAGCTCTTTCAATGTGGGCAATCCTGGAGCAAGGTAGAACCTCAACACTTCCTCCACATTGCCATACCTAGGAGGAAAAAAGACATTCTGCTGGTGAGAGCTCCCTACACCACTGCTGTCCTTTTCTATGCTTGCCATTGTTACAAAAGAGAAGAACTACTCAAGACTTATTTGACTATACAGAGATTTTTTTTAGACAGTTGTGAGAGGAGAGATTTATTAACTTGAGTTTTTACTACTACTTAACCTTACTACAGAATTATTACATTACCAGTAGCCTCTCATCACAATCTTCCTGGATCAATTTAGCTATTCTCAAGATTATTAATAAAATAATTTATAGAACATCCAAAACAATAGCGTCTGGGTTCAAGTTTTAATGCCTTGCAGGCATTTCTCTAAGATTGTGCACATTCCCTCTCAGCGCATACATGCACTGTTCAGAATCTGGAATTAGTCAGCCTTATGTAAAATGGAAACAAAGCCAATCAGCTTTTTAAGATCACTGAAGTTTCAGGTTCTAGAAAGACTAGGAATATAAACGCATCTTATGCTTTGCTTTAAACATAGCTCAGAAAGGATCAGGTTTATTTCTTCTGAAGAGTGACAAAGACTAAGGTTGCCTAGTGAAAATGTTCCATGAACAATTTCAACACACACTACTCTTATAAATTATAATTCATCTGTAACGTAGGTTACTGTACCTGCTCAAGTGTTTTTCAGTTTTTCCCACTACCACAGCTGAGCTCATGTCCATAATGTTAATCATGAGTACTGCATTCATTTTTGATTTTCTATCTTTCTGCTTTCAACAAATGAGAAAGCCACTTTGGCAGCCTTAACAGTCAGTGAAGTACTTGAATTATTTTACATGGAAACTCTTTTTCTGTGTATCTTGTATTATGCAAACTCCCTAACAAGATCAAGGCAGCCCATTCGTAATGGTTGAGTGGATGCTGCTCAGGTGAAAACCCAGATGCAGGCAAACTGTTTGATCCTGCTGAACTCAGTGTCCCAGAGGCAGGTGTACTCACTGAGAAGTGACAGAGTTTGCCTTATGATACTGCTAGCAGAGATTTCTGAGGCTTGGTATCCCATACCAAGAGAGCAAAAAACGAGAGCAAGGGTGTTCCTTCCTCATACAGCTCATCCAGGAGAGAGCATGTTCTGGTCTCCCTGCTAGTGCCCAGGGATGTGGGCTGGCAGAACACTGTGTCTGGAGCTGATCTCAGACCCCTCAGGTCAGTCCACCCTATAGGCATATGCTCTACTAAGGAGGCACTTTGTTCAGTCATTCATTTTATATATTTAGACATCTGGCTTGAATACAGCATTTAGGCATTTGGCAGCTCCCGAGACCAGAAAATGTGGCATGGATTCAGAATGTTTACAAAGCCTTTTCTGAACTGGTGCCTAATTGCATTCAACATATGCTGGGAGAAGAGACAGAGCCTTGGTTTTCAGAGCCCTCTGGAAGATGAGCTATCCCATGAACCTACTGTACAGTCGAGAAGGGAGCTGAAAAGACTTCAGCACATGTCTAGCACTTGGAAAACCGTAAGAGTAAATAAACATAACCATTATCAACATCAGGGCAAAACTGAGATGATAATAAATATTTAAAAATAGATGGGCAATTGATCTGGCACAAGATAAATAATCTGGAAACAGCATTTGTGTCCTGTCTTTCTAAATGTCATATGAAGTGGGCAATCCAGTTTAACGATCTAACAAAAATAATAGTTTGTCAAACATTTAATTCTAAATGGTTCAGATACATTACCTAATAAAGATTAAATGTGAAGTATCATCAAGCTTTGCTCACACAATGCCTGCTTTCATTCCAAGCCATTTCTCAGTACAGCATTGATATCCAGCTATAAATTGTTTCAGAGTTACTCACTGTACACTGCTTAAATTAGTATCATAAAAGACAAGGAAGATGTAGAGATGGTCATAACTTAGCCTAGGACAAGACAACTCACATAGCTCATGTGCTGCCTCCTCTGCCTAGCCTTTCCTCATTTTAACTAGGGATGGCCTTGATCCAAGTCCAACATGTGAACATCAGATCTTTTGTGGGATTTCAGTCTAAATGCCATCTTCAGAACAAGCTGAGCCAAAAATTCACGGTCTGTAATAAGCTGCATTTGCAAGTAAATTTCTAGGATCTGAAAATCTGAAGAGTGGACTCATCTATAATTTTAGTACTGGCTCAGCAATCAGTAAAATCTAATTTGACTTTATAATGAAGTCATATGTGTTTTCAAAAAACATCCTGAGATGGCAAAGTCTTTAATACAGTTTGTAAATAACAGTTACCCACTACCTGAATAAACAGCAATTAATCAAATCTGGTGGCCACTCCTTTCTCTCAGACACTGTCAGTCTTTGTTCCGTTTCCAAACACTAATTAATTAGTCTGCAAGAACCATGGGTTCACTTAAAAACTTAATGCTAAGAGGGAGCTGTCAATACAGATGCTGACAGAACAGGCAGGTTGTATTAAACCGCTTCAAAACCAAATCTTGTTATTCCTAAGCAAAAATCTCCTGCAATCCATGCAAATGTGATTAGCATGCACCATAACTATACTAGACGTATGCTAATAGTTCCCATACATCAAGACAAATAAGAGTCCTCTAATGAATGACTTTTTAAAGAGGAAGACATGAGAAACACATGTGATCTGAATGTATGGGAATGCATGCAGATGTTGCAGCTATAGTACTACACAAGTAGCACAACCCTAGATGCAGGCTACGAAGCCTTTAGAGCACTCAGAGTGAAAGCAGATGCAAGTCTTTATAAGGGCAGAAAGAAAAGTCCTGACTTCCTCCGATGGTCACATCTAGGAAAAGCTATAGGACCTTTCTCTCCCACAAGTGCTCCTTGCCCATTTACAGTGCAGTGAGAAAGCTCTTGTCTCCAAACATTTCACTGCACTTAGGGAGAGGCCAGTTGCAAAGAAAGAAAATGCAGGGAGGCATTAAAGTGGGATTTTCAGTTTGCATGAAACTCTCCTGCAATCTCAAGGGATTCTAGATTCCCAACTCCCCAAAACACGTGCAAAATCTCCAGCCAAGGACCGGAGGGCTTTCCTAGTCATACACTAAATATTAAAAACTATACTGAACAGCATATGTGCATACTAAACAATATAACAGGATTAACTGACTGCTACAGAAAGTGTTAGGTTTTTTTCATTTTTCTCTCATTATATTTGAAATAAGGGAATTTCTTGCAGCTAGTTCAAGAACACCCATCCATTCTTTCTGTATTGCCTTAGACCAACCGTCCACTTGAGTCTGACTGCTGCTAGCTCTCCCCATCTTCTGTACTCCTGTACACAAATCCATGTACTCCAACCACTGTGTTAGAGCCACTGTGGATGGCTTGATGGTTTTTCAAGACATCTTGAAAAGGTATAAATCTCAGATCAGAAGTGCATAGGAGAGACTCATTAATTACTCTGAAAACCTTTTGGTCAAAGACAATTTTTAAATTTTTTTTAATTAATATTTTTATACTAAGAAATATATTTTCTTAAAGACTCACTCAGAGGGAAGTTGCAAAGCCTTTTAGAGTGGTCTGTTCTTCATAGAATAAAACTATAAAGACAATCTCTTGTCTGAAGGAGTTAAGAAATAGGAAGAGCAATTGAGGGGTCCATTGCTCACATATTCACACGTTTCCTCTCTGAATTTCATGGCTATTTTTTTGCTGTCATTAGCTATCTTTATTCAGGCTTCCTCCCCACTGAATAGCACCTTTTTAGTTCTCCAGCACTGTTATTTTATGTGATGGCTATAAATAAACACAAAGGTTTAAAATCAGTGAAGCTTTTCCAAATTATCACCCATGACTTTAGTAGTAAGTCTAAAGATAAAAGATCTTCAAAGACGTTTTTAACCGCATGGAATGCTATATCTCTGAGCATACTGTCACTGCAATCAGTAATATTTAATGACAAACCCGCTCGTACAAATTACAAGGAAGAAACGATGAATTTCCTACACTACAGTTAAAGGAAAATACAGCCCCTTTTCCTGTTGCCCATGAAGATGTTTTACCTATGGTAGCAGAGGTGGAAATTGCTCGCAATGGTTTCCATCTCCTGTCAAATCCCTAAACATACATATACACTTGTCAAAAATAACACATGCTTCCATCATTGTGATACAATAAATGGCAATGCACATTTCATTCGGCAAAAGCATCAATTGTAAAACTGTACCAACAGGTCTCAGGCTTCGCCTTAAGGGAAAGACCCCAGCAAGTTTTCAAGTGTGAGGGACTGGGTATCTTTGGCAGTACTGAGAACACACCAGCTGGAGTTTCCCTTTCCAAGAGCATTCAGAGTCCACTTCAGTGTGTTTTCAGTGCTCCCTTCCAAGAGTACCTTGGAAAGGGCTCTATTCTCCAATCTCCTGAGGAGATTCATATATTTGGTGTAGCCCCAAGAAGGGCTTAAAGAGCTTCCTTCTCTTGAAAGGGTTCCTTCATCACTAGCAAAAGTTAGTAAACTATCACAAAAATATTCAAGGTGTAAAGGGACAGTAGCAGTGCCAAGGCAACTTCTAACACTCACAAAGATGAAAGACTAAAATCAGCAAAGCTTCTGACCTAACCTAAGCAAAGCAAGTGGGAGATGATAGGAACATTAAATAAATACAGAGATTCTATTTGGAGAAAAAAAAAGGATGGTGTGGGAAAACTTTCTCCCTTTTAAATCTTCAGTTGTTATGACTTATGGGGAGAATTTATCCAAGCTCTAAGCACTTCTTACTGTTAATTTACTGAAGGTACATTTACATGTAAGCTATAATTGTGGCCCTATATCTGTGTGAATTTATGTTCACCAAGGTTAAAGTAGCCCTACAGAAGAAACAGAACATGTTCTTTGCTTTGGAAGAGCAGGAAAGCAGAGGATACATAAGACTGCAGAGAGAACACAGGTGGTGGCACAACAGATCACCTGCAACTTCCACTCCCTTAAAGGAGTAAAGGACCAAAGTACCGGACAGCCCGGTGGGATGGCACAAGCGGGGCAGCTGCAGA